ATTCATTACAATATATTTTCATTAATTACTTTGAAAGATAGTTTTTTTTTTTTTTTTTTTTTTTTTTTTAAGAAAAATATAAGTAATTGTATCAACGAATAAGAAGTACGTTTAAACAAATATTATTTTCTTATTATTTTAATTTATTATTATAAATTATAATAATAAATATAATATTATATATATATATATATATGCTTACATTATATTTTAATTAAAGTATAAAAAGAAATTTGATATATATTTTCATTCATTAATATAAATATATATGATAATTTGATTAAATGAAAATTTAAGATTTTCTTGATAAAAAAAAAAAAAAAGAGGATAAAAATCTAAATTAATTGAACGCAATTTAAAAGTAATTTCAGTTCGGCCTGAAGGAAAAGAACTGTATTCGTTGTTAACATTTATGATCGATACGGCCATTTTCTCACGCTATACGTGAGCCTTAGTTGATTGTTGTCGGAATGAAATTATTGCCACTTTAGCAAAGAACCCCTAGAATGAAAGCCTTGGAAAAGGGTGGATGGAAAGGATTCTTTTGTCATAGAGACACCGCTCGTAGAGTCCTGCGGTCTAACGCAGGAAAGATGACTCGACCTTATTTTCAACGGCATAAGAAATGTTAAAAAATGCTCCCTTTCTCTATTCAATTTTCTACTTTTTTTATTTATTTATCATTTCTCCTTTTCTTTTTTGTTTTTGTAAAAATGTTCATAAAAAGGGAGAGAGAGAGAAAAAAATTCGACCAGAAAGATTTTTCTATTTGTTCTATCATATTAATTAAAATATAATTTACGCATATATTTTATTATAAATTAATATATATATATATATATATATATATATATATATAGAGAGAGAGAGAGAGAGAGAGAAAAGATTTTGTTTATACATATTTTATTTATCGATATAATTATTTTTTATATATTAATAGAAAAAAAAAATATTGTATATATATATTATATATATCCAAAATAATAAATTGAAATATATTACAACAAACAAAATACGTATTAATAAATTAATAAATTAACAAATTAACAAAATTAAAATATATTTCGATAATATATATATATATATATTAAATACCGTTTGTAAATATATCTTTTCGTCGTTGCATTCTTTTATCAAGTAAACTAAAAAAGAAAAAAAAAAAAAGAAAAGAAAAAAAAGAAGAAGAAAAAGAAAAAGAAAAAAAGAAAAAGGAAAATAAATCATATATCAAATCGTTTATTTATTTTCATTTTACGAACTGTATACTTCGTTATTTACCTCAATAAACCCGGGAGCGTTTACAAACAAGAAGTTTACGCGTCTCGTCAATACATCTCCCAAGTGTATAACAGAAAAGATGTAGGCGACGGACACAGTTTGCTATGTTCGGAAAAATTTTTTTTCTTCTTTTTTTCTTCCTCTTCTTCTTCTTCTTCTTCCTCTTCTTTTCTTTTTTTTTCTTCTACTTCTCTTTTTTTTTTTTCATTCTTTATTTCTATCGTCGTTCGTGGAATAGAAAAGACCGACTAACTTTCTTTGGTATCGCTATTATACACGAGTAAAAGAGAGAGAGAGAGAGAGAGAGAGAGAGAAAAAATAAACGTGACCAATCAAGATTTAATGTCCTAACTGTTTCAAGACTCCATTGTGGTCTCCTTTGCAACAAATTTGAATACAAATGGAAATCAATGATCGAATCGCCTTGTAATGCCGAAAAAAGAACGAAATCAAATAAGTCTGGTTTGTTTCTTCAACGAACCGAGATACATTCATACAGGTTGAATCAAAAGTTAGTTGAATCATAGATCGTTTTAAAAATCAATTCCGTTCCTTTCTTGTTTTTTTTCTTTTCTTTTCTTTTTTTTTTTTTTTTTTTTTTCTTTTAATAATTTCTCTCTCTCTCTCTCTCTCTCTCTCTCTCTTTGTTTCCTTTCTCCTTCACATTTTCGTTTTTCCATTCAAATCGAAAAAAGCGCCGATCGGGGGAAACTTTTTTTTTACGTACGAATTTGGAAAAAAAGAAAAAAAAAAAAAAAAGAAAATTGATAGTTGAAAATAAGACAAACGAAAAAAAAAATAATAAGAAAAAGAAAAAGGAGTATGTGATCTTTCTTCTTTTCTTTCTATCTTTCTTTCTCTTAAAAAAAAAATCAACGAAGAAGAACTTTTGACCGGCCCTGTATTTTTCTCTTTTCTACTCGAAAACTCCTCGAAACGTATTTTCTATTCCGAATGCGAATATTCCAATGATAAATCTCGACGAATAGAACGAACGATTTGCACGTTCTATCGTCTTCGAGCAAATAGCAAAACTTTTCATGAAATTTTACTTCGACTTGCGATTTTCTTTGGCAAACGATACTCACGTTTCGAGTTGTATGCCTTAAATCGCTTCACGAATTACTATACTTTTTAAATCAACTTTGAAGGAAAAGAAAAGAAAAGAAAAGAAAAAAAAAAAAAAAGGAAAAACGAACGGATAAAAATATAAATCAATTGTTTACGTATGAAAAATTAAAATTGAGAAACATTTTATTCATCGGTTCGAAGGGAAGAAAAAAAGGAAACGAGAAAGAAAAGTGAATATCAGCTATTGATTTTCTATTGAAATCTTTAAAGAAAAGAACGAACTGCATGAAAATAACTATCATGATGACGACGATCATCTTAATGTAATTATCTCATTCATTAATTTCAATTCGTTTTATTGATCCCTGATACAAGTCTTGATCATTAATAAACGAGATGATATTCATCTAAAATGACGAGATCTTCGAAACATTTTCTTTCTTTTATTTTATTATTATTATTAATTTTTTTTTCTTTTTCTATTTCTCTCTCTCTCTCTCTCTTTTTATTTATATTTTTACATAAAACTCCAACGTCATCCTGAAACTCTCGCAAATTCTCATTTATTATTGTCTTCAATAGTCGTAGGCGTTGTTCAATAACATTATCTTCGTAATAAATAAATAAATAAATAAATAAATAAATAAATAAATAAATAAATAAATAAATAAAACGCCTTCGTGATTAAACTGATTAAACTTAAAAGTATGCGTTATCTCGTTCCAACACAAATTTGTATACATATATATATATATA